TTTCCCCATGGATTCCCACCTCAACCATTCTTTTTCCTTAAGCAGATGCGAACCATCGCCTCCTTCCAAGCAATCCGTCGTCGGAACAAGCTCAGGGTGCTTCTCCTCCCAAACTACCACCTTATAACAGTACCGATCGTCATGAATGAACACAAAAGGTGGACAAACCTTTCCATCAGAAACTGTAATACGAACTCTTTCTGCATCAATGGCCTCATCAGCCTCCACCCAAATAAACCCGCCGCATAAATCACCAACTGTCACAAATAAAGAATGGCTCCACAGGTGAAGTGGAAGGTCATAAATCGTCACCTTCTTCAACCTCTTCTCTTTCAAGATCTCTGAACACCCCACCCTGAAGTTCCAAGCATCCACATGAAGAGTTGCCTTCCCCCAGTCACGTCGACCCTCTTTAAGAACACGAAATGCTTCGGCTGCTGAGGGAAATCGAAACAAAAGAAGCGAGTCAAGCAACGGCGAGACCGACACACCAGAGGAGATCTTCCAAGCTTTCAAAGCCTACGCCGCAATCTGTGTTTCATCGCCCACTTCCTTATCAAAATAACCCACCAAACATGACCTAAGGTCTTCTTTTCTCCTTCCAACCAAGTCGTCATCCAAATAAATCGATGGTCCCCTATACGGATTTGCAGATCTCGCAACACCACCTTGAAACAATCGAGGCAATCTTGCAACCTCCAAGAACGAGCGCTTGACAAAGATGAAACGAACACAAACAAAAACACTCCAGAAACAACAAATCACTCAAACAAAAGAAAAAAGAAGAAAAGTAATAGAGGATTTCACCGGAGACTATTTTATGGTCTCACTAACTCCTTGTGTCCTCTCTCTCTCTCTCTCTCTCTTTCTCTCCCTCCCTCCCTCCTAAAACAATCTGTAATAAACACTATCTGTTATAAACAAATCCACTTACAAAAACAAAGAAAATAGAATTATATCACAGACCAGTCCTCTATGTTACATGGACTTTTCAAAAGTAAGTAAAGTACTTGTGTGAGACACACATTGCTTGGACATGAATATGGGATATGTGTCTTTGACACTTTGGTTGGGCATGCACCTAAAAGCATGTCCAAAATTTTAATTTTATTATGTTATTGCTTCAAAATGAGTGAAATGCCAATATTGAACACTGTGTTACATAAATACAATATTTCACCTAAAAAATCAAATAAAAATATTAAATTATATAAATATTTAGCAGTGTCCATGTGTCTTTTGTCTTTTTGTTTGGTAGAGAACAGTGGCATCAGCCTTTTAAAGTATTTAAAAGGCATGACAAGAAGGATTCTAGAGCTCAAACATTTATTTGGCACATGCTAGACGATGGGGTCCACTTGGAGTCTTGCATAATTAGGGGGTTTAGTCAAATTGCATTAGTTTGGTAATTGCATTAATTATGGTGAATCTGCATCATTTTGGTAAATTGCATTATTAGGGAGTTTGGTCAAATTTCATTATTTTGGTAATTGCATTAATTATGGAAAATCTGCATTGTTTTGGTAAATTGCATAATTAGATTAAATTGCATCAATTAAGTTATTTGTTACTTTATTAAGTTAGAGTCAACTTTTGATTACCTTCATTGTAGGGTAATCCAAGGGTCATCTTTTATTATAAAAAGGATACTATGTAACTCTGCATAATCAGCGAATGATTGAATAAAATTATCCTTTGAGATTTCTTTGTTAGTGATTCACAAATTCTGAGGGCGTAAGGCCTTCTCTAGGTGTGATACCTAAGTCCTATTGGAGTGATTCCAATAGGCTTTTCTTTGTTAATTTCAATCCTTCTTTTCTACTAACAACCCCCGAATCTTAGCTTTGTTCCTGAATTTTCAGCCCATAACTCTTATTTACTTTCTTCTATTTGAGCCTGTCCTTTGTCCTACATCAGTTTTCGGTATCAAAGCCTAAGTAGACATTATGTTTACTCAATCGGCCAATGAAAGATTGGACAATAATCAAAAGATTGAGTTGCTGTTACAAATTTTGGAAAAGCTTAAAGGGCTGAATGCTCAATGCGATAGGATAGGGGCTCGAATTTCCCAGCCTTTTAACAAATCGGTAGCCCTTAAAGAAGAATATGCATTGGGCACTAATGATGGTAGAAACCACAAGCAACAACAGCCTTTACACTCTCTGCAAAGGTGTAATTTGAAGGTTGATCCACCACTCCATCCCATGTTGGAGTTTCCAAGAAATCCATTAGAGATGAATCATCATGAGCCACATGATGTTACAGGAGATATTACAAAGAAGTTACATGATGGAACTCACCGCACACAAACAACAACAATGCAGCCAAATGATGGATCAAAACCATCTTTATCTAACATGGCTGATCCTGAAGGAAAGAGTACGATGGCTAGCAAGGATTGTGAGAACCTGCTTGATGATGAGACATGCAACACTGATCATGTGAAAGAAGTTGGAGAGATTATTTCGTCCATCTCCGTTGTGACGCGCATCCTTGAAGACTCTAAAGTTGGTGGCAAAGATGGGCAGCAGACCTCTCATTTTGAGACGCAAGTTCATTGTGGAAATCAAGCTCGGAAGCCTACTATTGATGGCGGTGGCAGCCCAAATGTTGTCTCCACAGCCATGGTTAAGCGTCTCAAAATTTCCATCAAACCATATCCACAACCATTCAAAGCGTCTTGGATAGATAGTACTTCTATTCTGAATCTTCCTAAAGATGCGGCTATTGGAGTAGATACTTGGTGTATATTAGTGGGCACTGCAAAGAAATGGGAGCATGCTTGTGCCAAGAAGCAACAGAAGCTAGTTCAGATATCCACCAACTTGGTAGATGAGGTCTGGAAAAACCAACTGCGAGAAGAAACTAATCCTGTAAGTGATAAGCTAGAGGGGTCTCACGCATCAAAAGATCATTTTAAAGGGTTAAGTTTTCCTAATATTTCCTCAGTTGGTCCTAATGCAGCAATTATGCATTATAAACTAGAGGAGAAAATATGTTTAGGACTTGATCCAAATAGCATTTGTCTATTCGATTCTGGAACACAGTACCTAGATGGAACCAACTGGTTTGCTCTTTATGTTCTTGCTCGAATGCATTCGTGGAAGGATAGCCTTGAGTTTCGACATGGTACTGGCCATGGAGTTTGTATCAGGGGTGATGGGTCAGATGCTAATTTTGTTATGGGGTTGCCGAGAACTAGTCGAGGACATGATGCTATAACCATTGTTCTGGATCTTTTTTCGAAAAAGGCACATTTTCTTCTATGTTCTATGACCTACAATGCTGTCCACGATGCTAAACCTTTTTTTTAAGAAGTTATCTGACTTCATGGGTTGCACAACACTATTATTTCTGATCGAGCTTTGAAGTTTATGCATTGTTTTTTGGTGCAAATTATAGAAATTGCTGAATAAAAGGCTGAAATTTTTTTTACTCTTTTCATACTTATGAGCAATTTGATCACTTTAACTCGTCGGAGCCGAGTTTTTCCAAGCCGGAGAGAATTGGTAGAGAACAGTGGCATCAGCCTTTTAAAGTATTTAAAAGGCATGGCAAGAAGGATTCTAGAGCTCAAACCTTTATTTGGCACATGCTAGACGATGGGGTCCACTTGGAGTCTTACGTAATTAGGGGGTTTGGTTAAATTGCATTAGTTTGGTAATTGCATTAATTATGGTGAATCTGCATCATTTTGGTAAATTTCATTATTAGGGGGTTTGGTCAAATTTCATTATTTTGTTAATTGCATTAATTATGGAAAATCTGCATTGTTTTGGTAAATTGCATAATTAGATTAAATTGCATCAATTAAGTTCTTTGTTACTTTATTAAATTAGAGTCAACTTTTGATTAACTCCATTGTAGGGTAATCCAAGGGTCATCTTTTATTATAAAAATGATACTATGTAACTCTGCATACTCAGCGAATGATTGAATAAAATTATCCTTTGAGATTTCTTTGCGAGTGATTCACAAATTCTGAGGGTGTGAGGCCTTCTCTAGGTGTGATACCTAGGTTCTATTGAAGTGATTCCAATAGGCTTTTCTTTGTTAATTTCAATCCTTCTTTTCTACTAACAACCCCCAAATCTTAGCTTTGCTCCTGAATTTCCAGCCCATAACTCTTATTTACTTTCTTCTATTTGAGCCTCTCCTTTGTCCTACATCAATCAAATAAAAATATTAAATTATATAAATTTTTAGCAATGTCCATGTGTCTTTTGTCTTTTTGTTTGGGGATTTGACTCATCCGACCATGGATATATACTTGCACCCGACACACTTACCCGAGTCCACGTAACATAGCCAGTCCTACATGTATATACATTTACCAAAAATATATATATATAATGTCAACTTGATGATATGAGAAAATTACTGTCCAAAAGTTACTTCTTAAAAGAGTTTGCTTCAATAGATCCCGTGATTCCTTCTAAATCCCATTTATTGTCATAAGATACTTTGTGGCATCATTTTTAGTACCTTGATCGATTCCCTAACCTAGTTCAAAAAGAATGATGCAAGAACCAAAAATAAAATTTTACTGTTTTCAATAGGTTTCCTGCATATTAACTACTCAGGCCACTATCTCAATGTTTTTTATAGTTTAATGGGTTGTACTTCATGCCATAAAGGAAACCTCAAATAGTTTGAATAAATTTTGTTCACTAGGGTTTAGATTCAAATTTTGTCTCTTCTTTTTACTTTTTAATTATTCCACATAATTATTTCAAAAGGTATAACTAAAATTGCATTTTATTAACATAGAGGAGGTATTAGGACACACTGATTCTGTGGTTGCCAAATCATAAACCACGAACTCCATCCATAGTTTGTAAAAACCACTTCCTCAATCAATAATAATCACAGTTCGTGAAAACCACTTCCTCAATCAATAACAATCACAGCATTACGAAAAAACAGAACTCCATATGGTCAATTTATATTTACCAAGCATTAAAGTAAACTCATAATGTATCATATTAAGTTCACAATACCTTCCAATAAAGAAGCCAATGCAACCGTTAGTGACAATCTTTGAGCACATTCCTCCATTGACAAAGATCCATACTCATCTAAAATGTTTTGAAGTGAACTTCGGAAACATGAACAGCTAGCCAAAGCCTAAGGAGATAATTCATATACAAAATATGCAATAGAAAAAAAGACATCAACACTATAGTTTCTATAAATCATTACATAAACGAAGAAAAAACATCTAAATAAAACAAACCCAATTCATACCTGCAAAATTACATTCAGAAAACAATTGTTGCCGAGATTTTGCAATCCGGGCACTACCCAAAACTCCTCTGAATCACTCTCTGAATCACTTTCTCTCCCCAATGACCACAGTAAGCTATTGAAATTTCTTACTCTTTCATCTTTTATAGCAAATACCAGACCAGCAACACCCAAAACACCAGCCACTGATATCCTAAACCCAGAAGCTGAAACCCACTTCACATGTGACAAATTCGCAATCCCATGTTTGAATTTGTTAACTAGTGAACCACTATTCAAGTCCCCTTCAAATTTCATTGCACTGGAAAGAAAGGGTTTACTTCGAACACTCGATGTCTAACCTATTGTGAATCGCATATATGATCATATGACATCAGAGAGCACATAGACGTGAAGCTATGATCGTAGTAGTGTATCAGGTTCACAGATAGTACAACGATGTCATGATAGTTTAATGACGAAGTCAGGAAGTCATTGCAAAACCCTAAAAAGTTTGGAAAAAAAACAAAACACGGAACAAAATATCTATAGACATGAATATGAGTAGTCCAATCCAATGATGGACAAACGCGTCGTCATCCCCTCGGCTTGGGTGAGTTGGTAAAGATTTGACATTAGCTATTACTTGAATATGTTCGAACCTTTCTGGCCTCCGTTATCATCTCCGACTAATCGGTATATTTTTAGAGTGTTTTAGTTAAATAACCTTAAATTAAAATTACAAAGTTAACCTTGCTTGGAATTTGGGAGATTTAATTCAAAATTGAATTTTTTTTTTAGGGAGCTAAATAAGGGCTCCACTTTCTCTCTTCCTTAAATTAAAATTACAAAGTAATCCTCACACTACACAAAGGTTTATTTTTATATTTTTAGTTCCATAATCGTCATTTCCTTTAGGATTAGAATTATGGTGTCAAAAGGTAGAATTCTTCCGTTACCTCAAATCCTCTCTCCCTTTAATCCTCTCTCCCTCTGCAAAAATGAAAAATCTCACTAATGATGGAGTGTTTTAGTTAGGAGGAGTTATTGATAAGATAAGTTGTATTTAAGAAAACTAAAAAATCTATGAATCAGTGATTAACCATTCTAATTTCTTACTTTTGTTCTATTTTTTTTTTTTTCATTCGAATATAATTTTTTGATTTGATTTTGAAAATATTTTTTCTTCTTTATCAATCTATCAAGAATAAATTTTGTCCATGGGATGCCATGTTGAGAATAATTGACAAAATTGAGGAGGGGTTATTTTTAAATAAAAGGAGAAAAGTTTATTCCTATCTCATTATAGAAAAACATTTAATTGAATTGAAAATTAAAGGAAAGATTAATTTTACTCAAATAGAAACAATGTTGTATGGAAATAGTTTATTTGATTTTAGAAGAGAACGTATAGAAATTAAAAAAAAAAAAGGGAGCTGCGCTTCACGATAATACTCAAGTGCTCCACTTATACTCTCTCTCAAAATAAAATTACAAACAAACCCTTAACCAATACAAGGTGCTCATGTTGCTGCTAGAGCTATGCCTAACCAGCCATCAACTCATCATGAGACTCACAACGATAGTCAGAAAGGTCACGTCTCATATCCGCTATCTCAATGCATAAATGGTTATAATCTGCCCTAAATATGTAAAACGGCTCCTCGGGTTGCAACTCAGGCTTGTCCTGCTCCTCATCCATCACCTCCGGTCCAGAACCCCTTGCCCCTCTCGTAGTATGTGAGAACAACTCAAATTCCATTGGTCTACCCCAAACGGAATCTGATCCTCCACGACCTGCTCATCACTAGAAATCTTATAGCATTGGCTCTTTAGCAATCGAGTGACAAAGAATGGGAAATAAAGACTCCATGTTCGGGACTTGTCAGTTAGCTTCTTAATCAAACCACCATAGGACTTGTACAACTAACCCCAAATGATAGCAGGAACTGAAAACTACTTACTAGTGTTTACCGCGTATAGAGCATGCAAGAAATCACCCCGCCTCTAAGTCGTGTGCCCCAAAGGATGGATATTCTTTTGGAGCACAACGTCAAGAAACCATAAGTTGGGCGGAAGATATTTCTTAGCAGTGCAATTCTTGTGCTTATCGGCATAATGTCCGTTGCACATGTCCTCCACGATAACATCAACAGTGAGATTGTTCGGCAAATCTTCATAAAAAGGGTCATTGGTGCTGGGAAGAAATAACTCACCAGGATATGAATCAGTACACCCAAATACCTCCTCTATCGCATTAACATCAATGACAAAGTCATTCCAATCGATGTTAGTTGACAACACCCCACGTTGTTCCTTATCATACCTAAGATTCTGGTAGAAAAGGCGAACGACATGAAGGTAAGCTTTGGCAGTAATAGGGGTGCACAAGGTTCCAGTTCTCACGGTTTCGATCGGAACCGTTTATGATGGTTCCTCGAAAAAGGAACCGAAACTGGAACCGGAACCGTATAGTATGGAACCGAACCAGAACCGTTCACGACGGTTCCTTGAAAACGGAATCGAAACCGGAACCGATCCGTTTCTGCAGTTCGGTTTCGATTCAGTTTCATGAGAACCGTTATCTGTTTGGTTTTTTTCGTTTTTGCAGGGTTGTAAGTTGCAACACTGAATTGTTCCACAAATTTAACACTGAAATGTTGTAAGTTGTAACTCAGTAGTGTTCCATAACAGAATACAATATCAACATATAAATATAAATAAATACAAATACAGAAAATAAAACTGATATTTAACTACTTAAGTCTGATAGTCTTAATTATATAATATTACATCCCATACTGAAATCTGAATAACCTTTCAAAATAAAATAAAATATAATATAATACTGAATTACAGACATAAACTGAAAAAAAAAAAAAAAAAAAAAAAAAAGCAGCATTATCATGAGTATGCTCACTAGAGGAGTCACTTGACAGAGATACTGTTGACATTGCAGAAGGTAAAAATAAAGCAAAAGCTTGGTTAGAAATTTAGTTTCAAATAAAGATGCACTGTAAAATTGTAAATCTTTAAATTTAGTTTCAAGTAAATTTAGTTTGATGAATACTGATATTAGCTTGTAAATTTACAGTGTATTTGTAAATTTAGTTAACTTAGTAAATTTACACTGTAAAATTGCCAACAAGAAGGATTGGAAATCAGATGACTTCTACCATGCAGTATGCCATACGGTGGAGTCAGTGCTAGCTTTAACTAGATTTCTTTCACCTTCTAATACTTTTAATTTTCTTTGCAATTAAGAAAATAAATTAATACTGATACTAGCTTGTTTCTGTTGATGATTAATTTACTTTAGAAAAGGAATAGGAAAAGGAAAAAGAAAAAAATAAAGAAAAATTACCTTCACGGGCTTGACCGAGGAACATGATGAAGCTGGAGAAGCCGTGTCGGTGATTGAGATGGTGCGTGGGTGTAGATCGGAGAAGCTGTGTGACCTTGTCACTGTCTGAGAAGTTTGGAGGATTCACTTGACTCAGAAATCTGAGATGGGAGTGAGGATGAATGAATGATGAGAAATCTGAGATGGGAGTGACAGATCGATCAAGGACTTACCGAGTAATTTGAGATCGGAGATGATTAATGATGAAATCTAAGATGGTGAGGGCAATGAGGATTGAATCGACGAGGAAGCTTCAGATGAGACTTGAGAGGAGGCGAGGGCGATGAGGACTGAGGAGATGAGAGGATGCGACTCAAGCGAGGGCGATGAGAGGTCAGACTTCAGAGGAGGCGAGGGTTAGCTTAAGGTTAGTCACTTCGTCTGTTTAGATGAGAGATTGAAAGTAGGCGAGGACTGAGAGACTTCAGAGGAGGCGAGGGTTAGATGAGAGATTGAGATTTAGGGCAAAAAACTATAAAAATAAGTTTTTTTTTTTTTTTTTTTTTTTTTTTTTTTTTTTTTCACGTGTGTCCACTGTCCAGCGACTCAGCCCAATTTATCACTTTAGCTTTACTTCTTTTTTAGTATAAAATTAAATATATAATACATATAATATATATATATATATATATACGATTCCGGTTCTTACAGGTTCCCACATGCTAGAACTGAAACTGGAACCGTATGTCAACGGTTCCGAATTTAGGAACCGGGACAGGAACCGCAACCATGAGAACCGTGAAAAACGGTTCCGGTTCTCACGGTTCCGATTCCGGTTCCACGGTTCTGGTTCTTTTGTGTACCCTTAGGCAGCAACGAGTCTGAAGAGACTTGTCAATTGACACATTTGCAACTCCTCAACTGCCCATTAGGTGAGTGTGAAATTTATAAACTCTTCAATGTTGAAAATAGTCTCATATTCAATAGCCCGGCGACGCCATTCCTGCTTTGGTCGATTCCAACGAGTCCTAAGTGATAAGTGCTCAAATGTGATGCATTTTAGCACATAAGTTAGGGTATTTTAGCCCATTCATCTATCTTACTTTCCCGTTATAGTTTTAATTTGTGTTTTTATCTATTTTAGGTTAATAAGGTACAAACAGGCTAAAAAGAGCCTATTAGCTCATTTTTGGAGTCAAGAAGAAAATTCAGAAGAAGTTAGGAAAATCTGCACTGGATAGTCTTTGATCGATCGAAGGAAGTCCCGATCGATCGAAGAGATCTATAATTGATCGAAACGAAGGCGGTGCCAGCTCAATAGATAAGGTCGCCAGTTGTCAAAAATATCTTTCCCATGTCATCTTCGATCGATCGAAGCCCCTACTGGCAGTGAGCTGTTTTAATTCTCGAGCGCGCCTGAACTCCACCAACTTTTGTAACTGCGAGTTTGCACCAATCAAAGGCCTATTTTCTGACTTGTTGCCTACTCAAAGATGCTTGTATTTAAATTAAATGAAACCAATTATATAGGGTTCCAAGTTTTTGTCCAAGTTTTATTCCAACTTTTGTTATATAATTAGATAATTTTCTCTCTCTATATTAGGGTTTTTGGAGCAAAGCAAAGAGGAAGAAGATGGTGCCTACATTTTAGATATCCCTTGAGGGTTGGATAACAACAACTATGAGTGGGTAAATCTTTCTCTTTGGGGTAGGGATATCCCCTAGGCTAGTAGTTTTTAGTTTTTGGGGATTTATGTTGCAAATAATGTTTTGACCATGATTATATATAAATCTTGAGTTTCTACATGATATGTATGGATTAATTCTTCCAATTGATCTTTTATTTCTATTCATATGTCTATGTATGCTAGAATGAATGATCATGTGCTTACACTATATTTTATGAGTTTAATGCATGTCTATGTGTGTTGGAATTATAAATCTAGTGATGGTCAAGGCATTGTACTTAATTGATTACTCTTGTGGTTTGTTTGATGGATTATGCTTATTTCTTAATGGATTGTGCTACCTCCTTAGTTTAATTAGTTTAATTTCCTTGTTATTAGTATAGTTGTAATGTAGTTGCTTTAAATTCCTAGATAGGTAGACAATCCATTCTTGTTGTTTATGATCCATGCTTCTAAGTGCAAGTAGTACATTTCTTTAGATTTTTGTGTGTGCATTAATTGTGGATTTATTGAATGGTTAATGGTTTAATTTTATAGATTGTGCTACTCACTAGATTGATTAGACAATTTATGCTTAATTTGTCATCCATGCTTAGTATTTCAATTAATGGCACACACACTTGATTTGTAACATGGAATCCCCTTAAATTGAC